TAGTGTAGTACTATAGTAGTGGTGTTGTTACCAGAAAACGCAGGTGTGCGAGTGAGACTCCGGGTGTCCGTGCCAGGTGGTGTAGTACTATAGTAGTAGTATAGTACTATAGTAGTGGTGTTGTTACCAGAAAACGCAGGTGTGCGAGTGAGACTCTGGGTGTCCGTGCCAGGTGGTGTAGTACTATAGTAGTAGTGTAGTACTATAGTAGTGGTGTTGTTACCAGAAAACGCAGGTGTGCGAGTGAGACTCCGGGTGTCCGTGCCAGGTGGTGTAGTACTATAGTAGTAGTGTAGTACTATAGTAGTGGTGTTGTTACCAGAAAACGCAGGTGTGCGAGTGAGACTCCGGGTGTCCGTGCCAGGTGGTGTAGTACTATAGTAGTAGTATAGTACTATAGTAGTAGTATAGTACTACTAGTAGTAGTAGTGTAGTAGTAGTGTAGTACTATAGTAGTGGTGTTGTTACCAGAAAACGCAGGTGTGCGAGTGAGACTCCGGGTGTCCGTGCCAGGTGGTGTAGTACTATAGTAGTAGTGTAGTACTATAGTAGTGGTGTTGTTACCAGAAAACGCAGGTGTGCGAGTGAGACTCCGGGTGTCCGTGCCAGGTGGTGTAGTACTATAGTAGTAGTGTAGTACTATAGTAGTAGTGTAGTACTATAGTAGTGGTGTTGTTACCAGAAAACGCAGGTGTGCGAGTGAGACTCCGGGTGTCCGTGCCAGGTGGTGTAGTACTATAGTAGTAGTGTAGTACTATAGTAATAGTATAGTACTATAGTAGTGGTGTTGTTACCAGAAAACGCAGGTGTGCGAGTGAGACTCCGGGTGTCCGTGCCAGGTGGTGTAGTACTATAGTAGTAGTATAGTACTATAGTAGTGGTGTTGTTACCAGAAAACGCAGGTGTGCGAGTGAGACTCCGGGTGTCCGTGCCAGGTGGTGTAGTACTATAGTAGTAGTATAGTACTTAGTAGTGGTGTTGTTACCAGAAACGCAGGTGTGCGAGTGAGACTCCGGGTGTCCGTGCCAGGTGGTGTAGTATTATAGTAGTAGTGTAGTACTATAGTAGTAGTGTAGTACTATAGTAGTGGTGTTGTTACCAGAAAACGCAGGTGTGCGAGTGAGACTCCGGGTGTCCGTGCCAGGTGGTGTAGTACTATAGTAGTAGTGTAGTACTATAGTAATAGTATAGTACTATAGTAGTGGTGTTGTTACCAGAAAACGCAGGTGTGCGAGTGAGACTCCGGGTGTCCGTGCCAGGTGGTGTAGTACTATAGTAGTAGTATAGTACTATAGTAGTGGTGTTGTTACCAGAAAACGCAGGTGTGCGAGTGAGACTCCGGGTGTCCGTGCCAGGTGGTGTAGTACTATAGTAGTAGTATAGTACTATAGTAGTGGTGTTGTTACCAGAAAACGCAGGTGTGCGAGTGAGACTCCGGGTGTCCGTGCCAGGTGGTGTAGTACTATAGTAGTAGTATAGTACTATAGTAGTAGTATAGTACTATAGTAGTGGTGTTGTTACCAGAAAACGCAGGTGTGCGAGTGAGACTCCGGGTGTCGTGCCAGGTGGTGTAGTACTATAGTAGTAGTATAGTACTATAGTAGTGGTGTTGTTACCAGAAAACGCAGGTGTGCGAGTGAGACTCCGGGTGTCCGTGCCAGGTGGTGTAGTACTATAGTAGTAGTATAGTACTATAGTAGTGGTGTTGTTACCAGAAAACGCAGGTGTGCGAGTGAGACTCCGGGTGTCCGTGCCAGGTGGTGTAGTACTATAGTAGTAGTATAGTACTATAGTAGTAGTATAGTACTATAGTAGTGGTGTTGTTACCAGAAAACGCAGGTGTGCGAGTGAGACTCCGGGTGTCCGTGCCAGGTGGTGTAGTACTATAGTAGTAGTATAGTACTATAGTAGTGGTGTTGTTACCAGAAAACGGCAGGGTGTGCGAGTGAGGACTCCGGGTGTCCCGTGGCCAGGTGGTGTAGTACTATAGTAGTAGTATAGTACTATAGTAGTAATAGTATAGTACTATAGTAGTACTATAGTACTATAGTAGTGGTGTTGTACCAGAAAACGCAGGTGTGCGAGTGAGGACTCCGGGTGTCCGTGCCAGGTGGTGTAGTGCTATAGTAGTAGTATAGTACTATAGTAGTGGTGTTGTTACCAGAAAACGCAGGTGTGCGAGTGAGACTCTGGGTGTCCGTGCCAGGTGGTGTAGTACTATAGTAGTAGTGTAGTACTATAGTAGTAGTATAGTACTATAGTAGTGGTGTTGTTACCAGAAAACGCAGGTGTGCGAGTGAGACCCGGGTGTCCGTGCCAGGTGGTGTAGTACTATAGTAGTAGTATAGTACTATAGTAGTAGTGTTGTTACCAGAAAACGCAGGTGTGCGAGTGAGACTCCGGGTGTCCGTGCCAGGTGGTGTAGTACTATAGTAGTAGTATAGTACTATAGTAGTGGTGTTGTTACCAGAAAACGCAGGTGTGCGAGTGAGACTCCGGGTGTCCGTGCCAGGTGGTGTAGTACTATAGTAGTAGTATAGTACTATAGTAGTGGTGTTGTTACCAGAAAACGCAGGTGTGCGAGTGAGACTCCGGGTGTCCGTGCCAGGTGGTGTAGTACTATAGTAGTAGTATAGTACTATAGTAGTGGTGTTGTTACCAGAAAACGCAGGTGTGCGAGTGAGACTCCGGGTGTCCGTGCCAGGTGGTGTAGTACTATAGTAGTAGTGTAGTACTATAGTAGTGGTGTTGTTACCAGAAAACGCAGGTGTGTGAGTGAGACTCCGGGTGTCCGTGCCAGGTGGTGTAGTACTATAGTAGTAGTGTAGTACTATAGTAGTAGTATAGTACTATAGTAGTGGTGTTGTTACCAGAAAACGCAGGTGTGCGAGTGAGACTCCGGGTGTCCGTGCCAGGTGGTGTAGTACTATAGTAGTAGTGTAGTACTATAGTAGTAGTATAGTACTATAGTAGTGGTGTTGTTACCAGAAAACGCAGGTGTGCGAGTGAGACTCCGGGTGTTTCCGTGCCAGGTGGTGTAGTACTATAGTAGTAGTGTAGTACTATAGTAGTAGTATAGTACTATAGTAGTGGTGTTGTTACCAGAAAACGCAGGTGTGCGAGTGAGACTCCGGGTGTCCGTGCCAGGTGGTGTAGTACTATAGTAGTAGTATAGTACTATAGTAGTGGTGTTGTTACCAGAAAACGCAGGTGTGCGAGTGAGACTCCGGGTGTCCGTGCCAGGTGGTGTAGTACTATAGTAGTAGTGTAGTACTATAGTAGTAGTATAGTACTATAGTATAGTACTATAGTAGTGGTGTTGTTACCAGAAAACGCAGGTGTGCGAGTGAGACTCCGGGTGTCCGTGCCAGGTGGTGTAGTACTATAGTAGTAGTGTAGTACTATAGTAGTAGTATAGTACTATAGTATAGTACTATAGTAGTGGTGTTGTTACCAGAAAACGCAGGTGTGCGAGTGAGACTCCGGGTGTCCGTGCCAGGTGGTGTAGTACTATAGTAGTAGTATAGTACTATAGTAGTGGTGTTGTTACCAGAAAACGCAGGTGTGCGAGTGAGACTCCGGGTGTCCGTGCCAGGTGGTGTAGTACTATAGTAGTAGTATAGTACTATAGTATAGTACTATAGTAGTGGTGTTGTTACCAGAAAACGCAGGTGTGTGAGTGAGACTCCGGGTGTCCGTGCCAGGTGGTGTAGTACTATAGTAGTAGTATAGTACTATAGTAGTAGTATAGTACTATAGTAGTAGTGTAGTACTATAGTAGTGGTGTTGTTACCAGAAAACGCAGGTGTGCGAGTGAGACTCCGGGTGTCCGTGCCAGGTGGTGTAGTACTATAGTAGTAGTATAGTACTATAGTAGTGGTGTTGTTACCAGAAAACGCAGGTGTGCGAGTGAGACTCCGGGTGTCCGTGCCAGGTGGTGTAGTACTAGAGTAGTAGTATAGTACTATAGTAGTGGTGTTGTTACCAGAAAACGCAGGTGTGCGAGTGAGACTCCGGGTGTCCATGCCAGGTGGTGTAGTACTATAGTAGTAGTATAGTACTATAGTAGTGGTGTTGTTACCAGAAAACGCAGGTGTGCGAGTGAGACTCCGGGTGTCCGTGCCAGGTGGTGTAGTACTATAGTAGTAGTATAGTACTATAGTAGTGGTGTTGTTACCAGAAAACGCAGGTGTGCGAGTGAGACTCCGGGTGTCCGTGCCAGGTGGTGTAGTACTATAGTAGTAGTATAGTACTATAGTAGTGGTGTTGTTACCAGAAAACGCAAGTGTGCGAGTGAGACTCCGGGTGTCCGTGCCAGGTGGTGTAGTACTATAGTAGTAGTGTAGTAATATAGTAGTAGTGTAGTACTATAGTAGTACTATAGTAATAGTATAGTACTATAGTAGTGGTGTTGTTACCAGAAAACGCAAGTGTGCGAGTGAGACTCCGGGTGTCCGTGCCAGGTGGTGTAGTACTATAGTAGTAGTGTAGTACTATAGTAGTAGTATAGTACTATAGTAGTAGTATAGTACTATAGTAGTGGTGTTGTTACCAGAAAACGCAGGTGTGCGAGTGAGACTCCGGGTGTCCGTGCCAGGTGGTGTAGTACTATAGTAGTAGTGTAGTACTATAGTAGTAGTATAGTACTATAGTATAGTACTATAGTAGTGGTGTTGTTACCAGAAAACGCAGGTGTGCGAGTGAGACTCCGGGTGTCCGTGCCAGGTGGTGTAGTACTATAGTAGTAGTGTAGTACTATAGTAGTAGTATAGTACTATAGTATAGTACTATAGTAGTGGTGTTGTTACCAGAAAACGCAGGTGTGCGAGTGAGACTCCGGGTGTCCGTGCCAGGTGGTGTAGTACTATAGTAGTAGTATAGTACTATAGTAGTGGTGTTGTTACCAGAAAACGCAGGTGTGCGAGTGAGACTCCGGGTGTCCGTGCCAGGTGGTGTAGTACTATAGTAGTAGTATAGTACTATAGTAGTGGTGTTGTTACCAGAAAACGCAGGTGTGCGAGTGAGACTCCGGGTGTCCGTGCCAGGTGGTCCACGAGTCGGCCGGCGGTGGCCACCACCACGTCAGCTCGCGACACCACCAGCCCCTCCGGCCTGTCACAACAACAACAACAACAACGTCAACAACAACAACAACAACGTCAACAACAACAACGTCAACAACAACAACGTCAACAACAACAACAACAACGTCAACAACAACAACAATGTCAACAACAACAACGTCAACAACAACAACAACGTCAACAACAACAACAACGTCAACAACAACAACAACGTCAACAACAACAACGTCAACAACAACGTCAACAACAACAACGTCAACAACAACGTCAACAACAACAACGTCAACAACAACGTCAACAACAACAACGTCAACAACAACGTCAACAACGACAACAACGTCAACAACAACGTCAACAACAACAACGTCAACAACAACGTCAACAACAACGTCAACAACAACAACAACAACGTCAACAACAACAACGTCAACAACAACAACGTCAACAACAACAACAACGTCAACAACAACAACGTCAACAACGTCAACAACAACGTCAACAACAACGTCAACAACAACGTCAACAACAACAACGTCAACAACAACAACGTCAACAACAACAACGTCAACAACAACATCAACAACAACGTCAACAACAACAACGTCAACAACAACGTCAACAACAACAACGTCAACAACAACAACAACGTCAACAACAACAACAACGTCAACAACAACAACAACGTCAACAACAACAACAACAACATCAACAACAACAACGTCAACAACAACAACATCAACAACAACAACATCAACAACAACAACAACATCAACAACGTCAACAACAACGTCAACAACAACAACACCCCCCCTCTCTGTGTGTGGTCTTCATAGACGCTGCTGCTGCTACTGACAGCACTTGCCCCTCCAGCACTGCTAGAGGCTACCTGGGGGAGCTTTGTCTTTGTGTCTATAGGCGCTGCTGCTACTGACTGCACTTGCCCCTACAGCACTGCTAGAGGCTACCTGGGGGAGCTTTGTCTTTGTGTCTATAGGCGCTGCTGCTGCTACTGACAGCACTTGCCCCTACAGCACTGCTAGAGGCTACCTGGGGGAGCTTTGTCTTTGTGTCTATGGGCGCTGCTGCTACTGACTGCACTTGCCCCTACAGCTCTGCTAGAGGCTACCTGGGGGATCTTTGTCTTTGTGTCTATGAGCGCTGCTGCTACTGACTGCACTTGCCCCTACAGCCATGCTAGAGGCTACCTGGGGAAGCTTTGTCTTTGTGGCTATGGGAGATGCTGCTGCTGCTGCTACTGACAGCACTTGCCCCTACAGCACTGCTAGAGGCTACCTGGGGGAGCTTTGTCTTTGTGTCTATGGGAGCTGCTGCTACTGACTGCACTTGCCCCTACAGCCATGCTAGAGGCTACCTGGGGGAGCTTTGTCTTTGTGTCTATAGGCGCTGCTGCTGCTACTGACAGCACTTGCCCCTACATCACTGCTACAGGCTACCTGGGGGAGCTTTGTCTTTGTGTCTATAGGCGCTGCTGCTGCTACTGACAGCACTTGCCCCTACAGCACTACTAGAGGCTACCTGGGGGAGCTTTGTCTGTGTCTATAGGCGCTGCTGCTACTGACAGCACTTGCCTCTACAGCCATGCTAGAGGCTACCTGGGGGAGCTTTGTCTTTGTGTCTATGGGAGCTGCTACTACTGACAGCACTTGCCCCTACAGCACTGCTAGAGGCTACCTGGGGGAGCTTTGTCTTTGTGACTATAGGCGCTGCTGCTACTGACTGCACTTGCCCCTAGAGCACTGCTACAGGCTACCTGGGGGAGCTTTGTCTTTGTGTCTATAGGCGATGCTGCTGCTACTGACAGCACTTGCCCCTACAGCACTGCTAGAGGCTACCTGGGGGAGCTTCGTCTTTGTGTCTATAGGCGCTGTTGCTACTGACAGCACTTGCCCCTACAGCACTGCTGCTACTGACTGCACTTGGCCCTACAGCACTGCCAGAGGCTACCTGGGGGAGCTTTGTCTTTGTGTCTATAGGCGCTGCTGCTACTGACAGCCCTTGCCCCTACAGCACTGCTAGAGGCTACCTGGGGGAGCTTTGTCTTTGTGTCTATAGGCGCTGCTGTTACTGACTGCACTTGCCCCTATAGCACTGCTAGAGGCTACCTGGGGGAGCTTTGTCTCTGTGTCTATAGGCGCTGCTGCTACTGACAGCACTTGCCCCTACAGCACTGCTAGAGGCTACCTGGGGGGGCTTTGTCTTTGTGTCTATAGGCGCTGCTGCTGCTACTGACTGCACTTGCCCCTACAGCTCTGCTAGAGGCTACCTGGGGGATCTTTGTCTTTGTGTCTATAGGCGCTGCTGCTGCTACTGGCAGCACTTGCCCCTACAGCACTGCTAGAGGCTACCTGGGGGAGCTTTGTCTTTGTGTCTATAGGCGCTGCTTCTACTGACAGCACTTGCCCCTACACCCATGCTAGAGGCTACCTGGGGGAGCTTTGTCTTTGTGTCTATGGGAGCTGCTGCTACTGACAGCACCTGCCCCTACAGCACTGCTAGAGGCTACCTGGGGGAGCTTTGTCTTTGTGTCTATGGGAGCTGCTGCTACTGACAGCACCTGCCCCTACAGCACTGCTAGAGGCTACCTGGGGGAGCTTTGTCTTTGTGTCTACAGGCGCTGCTGCTGCTACTGACAGCACTTGCCCCTACAGCACTGCTACAGGCTACCTGGGGGAGCTTTGTCTTTGTGTCTACAGGCGCTGCTGCTGCTACTGACAGCACTTGCCCCTACATCACTGCTACAGGCTACCTGGGGGAGCTTTGTCTTTGTGTCTATAGGCGCTGCTGCTGCTACTGACAGCACTTGCCCCTACAGCACTAGAGGCTACCTGGGGGAGCTTTGTCTGTGTCTATAGGCGCTGCTGCTACTGACAGCACTTGCCTCTACAGCCATGCTAGAGGCTACCTGGGGGAGCTTTGTCTTTGTGTCTATGGGAGCTGCTACTACTGACAGCACTTGCCCCTACAGCACTGCTAGAGGCTACCTGGGGGAGCTTTGTCTTTGTGTCTATAGGCGCTGCTGCTACTGACTGCACTTGCCCCTACAGCACTGCTAGAGGCTACCTGGGGGAGCTTTGTCTTTGTGTCTATAGGCGCTGCTGCTGCTGCTACTGACAGCACTTGCCCCTACAGCACTGCTAGAGGCTACCTGGGGGAGCTTTGTCTTTGTGTCTATAGCCGCTGCTGCTACTGACTGCACTTGCCCCTACAGCACTGCTAGAGGCTACCTGGGGGAGCTTTGTCTTTGTGTCTATAGGCGCTGCTGCTGCTGCTACTGACTGCACTTGCCCCTACAGCACTGCTGCTACTGACAGCACTTGCCCCTACAGCACTGCTAGAGGCTACCTGGGGGAGCTTTGTCTCTGTGTCTATAGGCGCTGCTGCTGCTACTGACTGCACTTGCCCCTACAGCACTGCTGCTACTGACTGCACTTGCCCCTACAGCACTGCTAGAGGCTACCTGGGGGAGCTTTGTCTTTGTGTCTATGGGCGCTGCTGCTACTGACAGCACTTGCCCCTACAGCACTGCTAGAGGCTACCTGGGGGAGCTTTGTCTTTGTGCCTACAGGCACTGCTGCTACTGACTGCACTTGCCCCTACAGCACTGCTGCTACTGACTGCACTTGCCCCTACAGCACTGCTAGAGGCTACCTGGGGGATCTTTGTCTCTGTGTCTATAGGCGCTGCTGCTGCTACTGACAGCACTTGCCCCTACAGCACTGCTGCTACTGACTGCACTTGCCCCTACAGCACTGCTAGAGGCTACCTGGGGGAGCTTTGTCTGTGTGTACGCACGTGGTCTCCACCAGGCTCTGCTGTTCCTCTCCAAACCTCTGAGCTCCGCAGGCGAGGGCCACGCGGAGCCCCTCGCTCTCCGCGTAGGCACGGAACTCCTTCCACACCTGGGAGACACGGGGCGTGGGGGAGGGGAGAGACACACACAGACATGCAGACACACACACAGACAGAGAGACAGACAGAGAGACACACAGAGAGACACACAGAGAGATACACACACAGAGAGACACACAGACACACACAGACATGCAGACACACACACAGAGACACACACACAGACAGAGAGACACACAGAGAGACACACAGAGAGACACACACACAGAGAGACACACACAGACAGACATGCAGACGACACACACACAGAGAGAGAGACACAGAGACACACAGAGAGACACACAGAGACACACAGAGAGACACACAGAGAGACACACACAGACACACACAGAGACACACACAGAGATACACACACAGAGACACACACACAGAGAGACACAGAGAGACACACAGAGACACACACACAGAGACACACACAGACATACAAACACACACACAGAGACACACACAGACAGAGAGACACACACACACAGATACACACAGAGAGACACACACACAGAGAGACACACACAGAGAGACACACAGAGACACACACACACACAGAGATACACACAGAGACACACACACAGACAGAGAGACACACACAGACAGAGAGACACACACAGACATACACACAGAGAGACACACACAGACATACAGACACACACACAGAGACACACACAGACAGAGAGACACACAGAGAGACACACAGAGAGATACACACACAGAGAGACACACACACAGAGAGACACACAGAGAGACACACAGACAGAGAGACATACATAGAGACACACAGAGAGACACACAGAGAGATACACACACAGAGAGACACACACACACACAGATACACACACAGAGAGACACACACACACACACACAGAGACACACAGAGAGACACACACAGAGACACACACACAGACAGAGAGACACACAGAGAGACACACACAGAGAGACACAGAGAGACACACAGAGAGACACACGCACACAGAGACACACACACGGAGAGACACACAGAGAGATACACACACAGAGAGATACACACACAGAGAGACACACACATAGAGAGACACACACACAGAGAGAGAGACACACAGACACACACACAGAGACACACACACAGACAGAGAAACACACAGAGAGACACACAGAGAGATACACACACAGAGAGTTTTCACACACAGAGAGACACACACACACACAGAGACACACACAGAGAGAGACACACAGAGATACAGAGACACACACAGAGACACACACACAGAGACACACACACAGAGAGACACACACAGAGACACACACAGAGGCACACACAGAGACACACACAGAGAGACACACAGAGAGACACACAGAGAGACACACACACACAGACAGAGAGACACAGAGATACAGAGATACACACAGAGACACACACACACAGAGACACACACTGAGACACACACTGAGACACACTGAGACACTGACACACTGAGACACACTCTGAGACACACTGAGACACACTGAGACACACTGAGACACTGAGACACACACTGAGACACACTGAGACACACACTGAGACACTGAGACACACTGAGACACACACTGAGACACTGAGACACACACTGAGACACACACTGAGACACACACTGAGACACACTGAGACACTGACACACTGAGACACACTCTGAGACACACTGAGACACACTGAGACACACTGAGACACTGAGACACACACTGAGACACACTGAGACACACACTGAGACACTGAGACACACTGAGACACACACTGAGACACTGAGACACACACTGAGACACACACTGAGACACACACTGAGACACACTGAGACACACACTGAGACACTGAGACACACTCTGAGACACACTGAGACACACTGAGACACTCTGAGACACTGAGACACACTGAGACACACACTGAGACACTGAGACACACACTGAGACACACACTGAGACACACTGAGACACTGAGACACACACTGAGACATACTGAGACACACTGAGACACACTGAGACACTGAGACACACACTGAGACACTCTGAGACACACTGAGACACACACTGAGACACACACTGAGACACACTGAGACACTGAGACACACACTGAGACACACTGAGACACACACTGAGACACACTGAGACACACACTGAGACATACTGAGACACACTGAGACACACTGAGACACTGAGACACACACTGAGACACTCTGAGACACACTGAGACACTGAAACACACTGAGACACACTGAGACACACACTGAGACACACTGAGACACTGAGACACACTGAGACACACACTGAGACACACTGAGACACACTGAGACACACTGAGACACACACTGAGACACACTGAGACACACACTGAGACACACTGAGACACACACTGAGACACACTGAGACACACACTGAAACACACTGAGACACACTGAGACACTCTGAGACACACTGAGACACTGAGACACACTGAGACACACACTGAGACACACACTGAGACACACACTGAGACACACTGAGACACACTGAGACACACACTGAGACACACTGAGACACACACTGAGACACACAGAGACACACAGAGACACACAGAGACACACTGAGACACACTGAGACACACACTGAGACACTCTGAGACACACACTGAGACACACACTGAGACACTGAGACACTGAGACACACTGAGACACACACTGAGACACTCTGAGACACACTGAGACACTCTGAGACACACAGAGACACTCTGAGACACACAGAGACACTCTGAGACACACTGAGGCACACACTGAGACACTGAGACACACAGAGACACTGAGACACACTGAGACACACTCTGAGACACACTGAGACACTCTGAGACACACTCTGAGACACACTGAGACACTCTGAGACACACACTGAGACACACACTGAGACACACTGAGACACTCTGAGACACACACTGAGACACACTGAGACACTCTGAGACACTCTGAGACACTGAGACACACACTGAGACACACTGAGACACACACTGAGACACTGAGACACACTGAGACACACAGAGACACACTGAGACACACTGAGACACTTTGAGACACTGAGACACTCTGAGACACACACTGAGACACTGAGACACACACTGAGGCACTGAGACACTGAGACACACTGAGACACACTGAGACACTCTGAGACACACTCTGAGACACACTGAGACACTGAGACACTCTGAGACACTCTGAGACACTGAGACACTCTGATACACACACTGAGACACTGAGACACACACTAAGACACACTGAGACACACTGAGACACTCTGAGACAGGATGTCCGTGTCCCCACCTGCTGGGCCAGCTCCTTGGTCGGCAAGACAACCAGCGCCCGGATCTGGCACACGGCACGATCCATGAGGAGCTGTGGCACGGTGGGACACACGGAGAGACACGGAGAGACACAGACAGACACAGAGAGACACAGAGACACAGAGAGACACAGTGAGACACAGAGACGCGGTGAGACACACGGAGAGACACGGAGAGACACAGACAGACACAGAGAGACACACAGTGAGACACACGGTGGGACACACGGAGAGACACGGAAAGACACACGGTGAGACACACGGAGCGACACGGTGAGACACGGAGAGACACGGTGAGACACAGAGAGACACGGTGAGAGACACACGGTGAGACACACGGTGAGACACACGGTGAGACACACGGTGAGACACAGAGAGACACGGTGAGACACACGGTGAGACACGGAGAGACACACGGTGAGACACACGGTGAGACACACGGAGAGACACACGGTGAGACACGGTGAGACACACAGTGGGACACGGTGAGACACACGGAGAGACACGGAGAGACACAGACAGACACAGAGAGACACGGTGAGACACAGAGAGACACACGGTGAGACACAGACAGACACACAGTGAGACACACGGAGAGACACAGTGAGACACGGTGAGACACAGAGACACGGTGAGACACGGTGAGACACGGTGAGACACGGAGACACACGGTGAGACACACAGTGAGACACGGTGAGACACAGACAGACAGAGAGACACACGGTGAGACACACGGTGAGACACACGGTGAGACACACGGTGAGACACGGAGACACACGGTGAGACACACGGTGAGACACGGAGAGACACACGGAGAGACACGGAGACACACGGTAAGACACACAGTGAGACACGGTGAGACACAGAGAGACACGGTGAGACACACGGAGAGACACGGTGAGACACGGTGAGACACACGGTGAGACACGGTGAGACACGGAGAGACACAGTGAGACACGGTGAGACACAGAGAGACACGGTGAGACACACGGTGAGACACGGAGAGACACACAGTGGGACATGGAGAGACACACGGAGAGACACACGGAGAGACACACGGTGAGACACACAGTGGGACACGGTGAGACACACGGTGAGACACGGTGAGACACACGGAGAGACACACGGTGAGACACGGTGAGACACGGTGAGACAGACGGTGAGACACGGAGAGACACACAGTGAGACACGGAGAGCCACGGTGAGACACGGTGAGACACGGTGAGACACACGGTGACACACACTGAGACACGGTGAGACACGGTGAGACACGGAGAGACACGGTGAGACACAGAGAGACACGGTGAGACACACGGTGAGACACGGAGAGACACACGGTGAGACACACGGTGAGACACGGAGAGACACGGAGAGACACGGAGAGACACACAGTGAGACACACGGTGAGACACACTTAGACACGGTGAGACACACGGAGAGACACAGAGAGACACGGTGAGACACACGGTGAGACACACGGTGAGACACACAGTGAGACACACTGAGACACGGTGAGACACACGGTGAGACACAGAGAGACACACGGAGAGACACACGGAGAGACACACGGTGAGACACACGGTGAGACACACAGTGAGACACACTGAGACACGGTGAGACACAGGGTGAGACACACGGTGAGACACACGGTGAGACACGGTGAGACACGGAGAGACACACGGTGAGACACACGGTGAGACACACAGTGAGACACATTGAGACACGGTGAGACACGGAGAGACACAGAGAGACACGCGGTGAGACACAGAGAGACACGGTGAGACACACGGTGAGACACGGAGAGACACACGGAGAGACACGGTGAGACACACGGTGAGACACGGTGAGACACACTTAGACACGGAGAGACACAGAGAGACACAGAGACACACGGTGAGACACGGTGAGACACGGAGAGACACGGTGAGACACGGTGAGACACACGGTGGGACACGGAGAGACACGGAGAGACACGGTGAGACACACGGTGAGACACGGTGAGACACACGGTGAGACACGGTGAGACACACGGTGAGACACACACACGGAGAGACACGGAGAGACACACGGTGAGACACGGAGAGACACACGGTGAGACAGACGGTGAGACACGGTGGGACGCGATGCTGTTGCCGATGATGATGATGATGCTGCTGATGATCCTGGTAATGCTGCTGATGATGCTGCTGATGATGCTGCTGATGATGATCCTGGTAATGCTGCTGCTGACGATGCCACTGATGATAATGCTGCCGATGATGATGCTACTGCTGATCCTGATAATGCTGCTGATGATGATACTGCTGATGACGATGCTGCTGATGATCCCGCTGATGCTACCAATGATGACAATGCCACTTGCTGATTCTCCTGATGATGATGATGCTGCTGCCGCCGCTGATGATGCTGCTGATAAAGATGCTGCTGCTGCCGCTGATGATGCTGCTGCTGCTGATGATGCTGATGATGATGCTGATGATCCTGCTGATGCTACCAATGATGATAATGCCACTTGCTGATTCTCCTGATGATGATGATGATGCTGCTGCTGCTGCCGCTGATGATGATGCTGCTGCTGCTGCTGCTGATGATGATGCTGATGATGATGCTGATGATGATGATGCTGGAGGCGTCACCCACCTGCACAATGGGGATGACGAAGGCCAGGGTCTTCCCGCTGCCCGTGGGGGCGGAAACGCAAATGTCGCTGGGCCGCTGACCCCCCCGCCCCAGAATGAACCCTCCCGCTGCCCCCTCCAGCACAGCAGGGATCACCTGGGCCTGGACTGTACCACACACACAAGACGGGGGGGTTCCTTAACACATTCAATTAAACAATTAAAACAATTAAAACACATCGCACCCCCATGTTTTGTTGTATAATGGATGCGTCCATTTGCACTGAATGAATGGGTAATGGTTGGAAGATACCAAATCAAATGGGAGGGGGGGGGGGTTTACATTTATTTGAACCCTCCCGCCGCCCCCTTCAGCACAGCAGGGATCACCTGGGCCTGGACTGTACCACACACACAAGACGGGGGGGGGTTCCTTAACACATTCAATTAAACAATTAAAACAATTAAAACACATCCCACCCCCATGTTTTGTTGTATAATGGATGCGTCCATTTGTGCTGAATGAATGGGTAATGGATGGAAGAAACCAAATCAAATGGGAGGGGGTTTACATTTATTTGAACCCTCCCGCCGCCCCCTTCAGTACAGCAGGGATCACCTGGGCCTGGACTGTACCACACACACAAGACGGGGGGGTTCCTTAACACATTCAATTAAACAATTAAAACAATTAAAACAATTAAAACACATCGCACCCCTATTTATTGCTGTATAATGGATGCGTCCATTTGTGCTGAATGAATGGGTAATGCTTGGAAGATACCAAATCAAATGGGAGGGGGGGGGGTTTACATTTATTTGAACCTTCCCGCTGCCCCCTCCAACACAGCAGGGATCACCTGGGCCTGGACTGTACCACACACGCAGGACGGGAAGGGGGGGTTACTTAACACATTCAATTAAACAATTAAAACACATCGCACCCCTATTTATTGTTGTATAATGGATGCGTCCATTTGTACCGAATGAATGGGTAATGGATGGAAGATACCAAATAAAATAGGGGGGGTTACATTGATTTGACCCCACCCACCACCCCCCCCCCCATGCCGAATACAGAATGAACTCTCCCACTCTGCGCCATCCAATAGACTGCAGCGATCACCTGGGAAGTGGACTGTACCACAAGCACACGATGGAGGGGGGGTTCTTGAGACAATCAACATACACCCCCCCCTACACCCCATTTTGTTGTATAATGGATCCGTCCATTGGTATTGAATGGAGAATGCTTGGAAGATACCAAATAAAATAGGGGGGTTACATTGAATTTAACCCACCACCACCCCCCCGGCTGCCGAATACAGAATGAACTCTCCCACTCTGCGCCATCCAATAGACTGCAGCGATAATTTGGGGCCTGGACTGTACCACAAGCACACGATGGAGGGGGGTGGAGTTGGTGGGGTTCTTGAGACAATCAACATTTAACCCCCCCCCAAAAACACCCCATTTTGTTGTATAATGGATCCGTCCATTGGTATTGAATGGGTAATGCTTGGAAGATACCAAATAAAATAGGGGGGGTTACATTGAATTTAACAACCCCCACCCCCCCCGCCGAATACAGAATGAACTCTCCCACTCTGCGCCATCCAATAGACTGCAGCGATCGCCTGGGAAGTGGACTGTACCACATGCACACGATGGAGGGGGGGGGGTTGGTGGAGTTCTTGAGACAATCAACATATACACCCCCCCCCCTACACCCCATTTTGTTGTATAATGGGTCCGTCCATTGGTATTGAATGGGTAATGCTTGGAAGATACCAAATAAAATAGGGGGGGTTACATTGAATTTAACCCCCCCCCCCCCCCCCCCCCGCCAAATACAGAATGAACTCTCCCACTCTGCACCATCCAATAGACTGCAGCGATTATTTGGGGCCTGGACTGTACCACACGTACAGGATGAAGGGGGGGGGGTTGGTGGGGTTCTTGAGACAATCAACATATACCCCCCCCTACACCCCATTTTGTTGTATAATGGGTCCGTCCATTGGTATTGAATGGGTAATGCTTGGAAGATACCAAATAAAATAGGGGGGGTTACATTGAATTTAACCCCCCCCCCCCCCCCCCCCGCCAAATACAGAATGAACTCTCCCACTCTGCACCATCCAATAGACTGCAGCGATTATTTGGGGCCTGGACTGTACCACACGTACAGGATGAAGGGGGGGGGGTTGGTGGGGTTCTTGAGACAATCAACATATACCCCCCCCTACACCCCATTTTGTTGTATAATGGATCCGTCCATTGGTATTGAATGGGTAATGCTTGGAAGATACCAAATAAAATAGCGGGGGTTACATTGAATTTAACCCCACCCCCCCGCCGAATACAGAATGAACTCTCCCACTCTGCGCCATCCAATAGACTGCAGCGATCACCTGGGAAGCGGACCGTACCACACGTACACAGGGTGATTGATGGAGGTGGTGGTGGTGGTCAGTTCTCCTCTGGCTACAGCTAACAAAATAAGCGGTAACATTGCTAAACCCCCCCCCCTCTCCCCCCCCCCCCCAATGAACTAGTCCGAAGGGCGAGGCCTCACCGGGAAAGAGGCTGTGGATTCCGTTGGCGGCCATCTTGGAGTACAGGCGCGGGTGGAGCCAGGGGAGGTCGGAGGTCGGCACGGAGCGGTGGCGGATGCTGCGGGACACCACGCGGGGCCTCGCCAGCCAATCGGGGAGCACCCTGTCCACCTGGGGGAGGGCGGGTTCCAGCCGTGTTGGGTGGGTGGGTTCACGATGGCCGTGTGGTGGGTGGGTTCACGATGGCCGTGTGGTGGGTGGGTTCACGATGGCTGTGTGGTGGGTGGGTTCACGATGGCCGTGTGGGTGGGTGGGGTTCACGGTGGCCGTGTGGTGGGTGGGTTCACGATGGCCGTGTGGGTGGGTGGGTTCACGATGGCCGTGTGGTGGGTGGGTTCACGATGGCCGTGTGGTGGGTGGGTTCACGATGGCCGTGTGGGTGGGTGGGTTCACGGTGGCCGTGTGGGTGGGTGGGTTCAGGATGGCCGTGTGGTGGGTGGGTTCACGATGGCCGTGTGGTGGGTGCGTTCACGATGGCCGTGTGGTGGGTGGGTTCACGATGGCCGTGTGGGTGGGTGGGTTCACGATGGCCGTGTGGTGGGTGGGTTCACGATGGCCGTGTGGGTGGGTTCACGATGGCCGTGTGGGTGGGTGGGTTCACGATGGCCGTGTGGTGGGTGGGTTCACGATGGCCGTGTGGTGGGTGGGTTCACGATGGCCGTGTGGTGGGTGGGTTCAGGATGGCCGTGTGGTGGGTGGGTTCACGATGGCCGTGTGGGTGGGTGGGTTCACGATGGCCGTGTGGGTGGGTGGGTTCAGGATGGCCGTGTGGTGGGTGGGTTCACGATGGCCGTGTGGTGGGTGGGTTCACGATGGCCGTGTGGGTGGGTGGGTTCACGGTGGCTGTGTGGGTGGGTGGGTTCAGGATGGCCGTGTGGTGGGTGGGTTCACGATGGCCGTGTGGTGGGTGGGTTCACGATGGCCGTGTGGGTGGGTGCGTTCACGATGGCCGTGTGGTGGGTGGGTTCACGATGGCTGTGTGGTGGGTGGGTTCACGATGGCCGTGTGGGTGGGTGGGGTTCACGGTGGCCGTGTGGTGGGTGGGTTCACGATGGCCGTGTGGGTGGGTGGGTTCACGATGGCCGTGTGGGTGGGTTCACGATGGCCGTGTGGGTGGGTGGGTTCACGATGGCCGTGTGGTGGGTGGGTTCACGATGTCCGTGTGGGTGGGTGGGTTCACGATGGCCGTGTGGTGGGTGGGTTCACGATGGCCGTGTGGGTGGGTGGGTTCACGATGGTCGTGTGGTGGGTGGGTTCACGATGGCCGTGTGGTGGGTGGGTTCACGATGGCCGTGTGGTGGGTGGGTTCACGATGGCCGTGTGGTGGGTGGGTTCACGATGGCCGTGTGGGTGGGTTCACGACGGCCGTGTGGTGGGTGGGTTCACGATGGCCGTGTGGTGGGTGGGTTCACGATGGCCGTGTGGTGGGTGGGTTCACGATGGCCGTGTGGTGGGTGGGTTCACGATGGCCGTGTGGTGGGTGGGTTCACGATGGCCGTGTGGGTGGGTGGGTTCACGATGGCCGGGTGGTGGGTGGGTTCACGATGGCCGTGTGGTGGGTGGGTTCACTGATGGCCGTGTGGTGGGTGGGTTCACGATGGCCGTGTGGGTGGGTGGGTTCACGATGGTCGTGTGGTGGGTGGGTTCACGATGGCCGTGTGGGTGGGTTCACGATGGCCGTGTGGTGGGTGGGGTTCACGATGGCCGTGTGGTGGGTGGGTTCACGATGGCCGTGTGGGTGGGTGGGTTCACGATGGGCGTGTGGTGGGTGGGTTCACGATGGCCGTGTGGTGGGTGGGTTCACGATGGCCGTGTGGTTGGGTGGGGTTCATGAAGACCGTGTGGTGGGTGGGTTCACGATGGCCGTGTGGTGGGTGGGTTCACGATGGCCGTGTGGTGGGTGGGTTCACGATGTCCGTGTGGGTGGGTGGGTTCACGATGGCCGTGTGGGTGGGTGGGTTCACGATGGCCGTGTGGGTGGGTGGGTTCACGATGGCCGTGTGGGTGGGTGGGTTCACGATGGCCGTGTGGGTGGGTGGGTTCACGATGGCCGTGTGGGTGGGTGGGTTCATGATGGCCATGTGGGTGGGTGGGTTCACGATGTCCGTGTGGTGGGTGGGTTCACGATGGCCGTGTGGTGGGTGGGTTCACGATGGCCGTGTGGGTGGGTGGGTTCACGATGGCCGTGTGGTGGGTGGGTTCACGATGGCCGTGTGGTGGGTGGGGTTCACGATGGCCGTGTGGGTGGGTGGGTTCACGATGGCCGTGTGGGTGGGTGGGTTCACGATGGCCGTGTGGGTGGGTGGGTTCACGATGGCCGTGTGGTGGGTGGGTTCACGATGGCCGTGTGGTGGGTGGGTTCACGATGGCCGTGTGGGTGGGTTCACGATGGCCGTGTGGGTGGGTGGGTTCACGATGGCCGTGTGGTGGGTGGGTTTCACGATGGCCGTGTGGGTGGTGTGGGTTCACGATGGCCGTGTGGGTGGGTGGGTTCACGACGGCCGTGTGGTGGGTGGGTTCACGATGGCCGTATGGTGGGTGGGTTCACGATGGCCATGTGGGTGGGTGGGTTCACGATGGCCGTGTGGGTGGGTGGGGTTCACGATGGCCGTGTGGTGGGTGGGTTCATGATGGCCGTGTGGTGGGTGGGTTCATGATGGCCGTGTGGGTGGGTTCACGATGGCCGTGTGGTGGGGGGGGTTCACGATGGCCGTGTGGTGGGTGGGTTCACAATGGCCGTGTGGGTGGGTGGGTTCACGATGGCCGTGTGGTGGGTGGGTTCACGATGGCCGTGTGGTGGGTGGGTTCACGATGGCCGTGTGGTTGGGTGGGGTTCACGAAGACCGTTGTGGTGGGTGGGTTCACGATGGCCGTGTGGTGGGTGGGTTCACGATGGCCGTGTGGTGGGTGGGTTCACGATGTCCGTGTGGGTGGGTGGGTTCACGATGGCCGTGTGGGTGGGTGGGTTCACGATGGCCGTGTGGGTGGGTGGGTT